ATGGATGCGTTCCACCACACCCAGAACTTCGAGTAACATTTTAATTTTAGCTTAATAGACACTAAGCCAATAATTCTAGCTCTACTAAGTCTTTAACAATCAAAATGCTGCTTAATTTACCAGAAGCTTCCATATTGGCATTCTTATCCTCCTCTATCACTTTCCTTTTTAATTTAACCAACTTCCCTGATTTATTTTCTTTTTTTTTTTTAGTTAAAAGCCAACAACATTAATTGTATTTGCATTTATTTTATGCTGAATTTATTCCTGTGCCATAAGTTTTTGTTTCTTTAGTTTCTTCAGAGATATTGCTTTTCAGTAAGGATCCTCTCAATATGACGGGGAGCTCACATATGGGTTAACCCGGCCATGAGCTCTGTAAGTACGCAGCGCATCTTGGGTGCTTTGTTCTCCTGGACATGTTCAATAACCAGAGAACCTACATCTTTTCAGAACCGGGGATTGAACTCGGGGATTGAACTCAGGCCCTTGTGCTTCTGGGGAAGCGCTTATTCCACTGAGCCATATTGCCAGCCCCTGAGAATCCACCTCTAAACCCTTAAGTTCAGCATTACTCTCTGCATTTTTTTTTTATTTATGCATGTGTGTGTGTGTGTGTGTGTGTGTGTGGCCAGCTCAGCCCACCAGGGGGCGGGGCTGGCTGGCATGTGGTGCTGGGGGATTGAACCGCGGTCCCTGTGCTTTGCTAAGCTTGTTCTAAGTAGGTGCTTTAGACCACTGAGCCATCTCATCAGCCCCACTCTCTGCATTTTTAAGCACTCTTTCTGCACCACCGACCCTGCGGCCAGCCCCACGGCTTGGCCTGGGCGCACCTTCCAACTCTACCCCTGTAACGCCGGCAGAATGGCACATGTTGCTTCTTTAATGTGGCATCCTTCAGATACTTGGTGGCCTTTTGGACATGCACACCCTTGATGCCCTGAGCAGCTTCACACATGTTCTTACAGTGAATGCAAAGATTTGAGCCTCTTGATTTGCATGATTTTGTGGAGTTTTCTGGGTTGAGAGAGTAGTAAACCATTTTCACAGGTCACCTCAGACCACTGACAGGAAGAGGAACTGTCTTTCCCTAATTTCTTATTTGCCTTGTTCCTCTTGAATACATTATAAACTCTTCAGAAAGCCAGAGGAAGTCCTAATTATCTTTGAAGTCCTCAGAATGCTTAGGAAATAATACATACTCAAAACCAAATAGCTGTATTGAGGCCTGACCTGAACCTCTGTATGGAAGCTGTACTAATTGAACTCTTTATTGCTTCTTCCTTTTATAAAAGAGAAGCCAGTGGTGGCAATATATTTATATAATCTCAGCTACCTAGAATGCTAAAACTGGACAATCTTGTTTGAGACCAACCTGGACAACTTGTCTTGTAGAGACCCATTATCTCAAAAAACAAAACAAATGAAGCCATATTAGATGTCAGATTACTTAGTCATTATCATATCACAAAGATTGAATGGATATGAATTTTATTATTATAAATTATTTATACAAATAATATACCTAGATAGACAGAACTTATAAGAAGTAAAATGTATGTGCGTAGCTTTTCTTAAATTTTAATTTTTTTTTTTAATACAGCATCTTGCTATGTGATCTTCCTGTCTCAGCCCCCCCCATGCTTGGATTATAGGCATGCACCACTTTGCCCATCTGGGGCTAGCACTGTGCACCTGGGGCTCTGGGGCCAGTATAGCACACAGTACCATGGATCAAACTTGGGACCTTGCACTTGCCAGCAGGTGCTTATGCTGCTGAGCTAAATCCCTGGCCCAGTATATAACATTTAAATTACTTTTTTTTTTTTCAGAATCTGCAAAAACAAGGCTTAACACTTTCATCTCCATGAGAATAGTAAAAGCAACATCATCGACACTTTTACTTTGCTTGAAATTATTTTAAAATATGTCTCATCTGATCTCATTTAAATAAAACAAAGTAGGTAATTGGGAATAATTGTTTAAAAGATGGCATCAGGACCAGGGGTATAGCTCGTTGGCATAGTGCATTCCTGACAAACACAAGGTCCTAAGTTTGATTGCTGGTACAAAAAAAAGTCATCCACTACATCCACTATTGATTTATTTCATTTCAATAATAAAAATTAGAAAGATGTATAATTTTTATTTTTTATTTATTTATTTTTTTTGGCAGGGATTGAACTCAGACCCTTGCGCTTGCCAGGGAAGCGCTTATTCCACTGAGCCATCTCCCTGGCCCCAAGATG